CACACTCTTGTTCATGCTAAAGGGCAGAAGTAAATGAGTTAAGCCCATGATAAGTACTTTTGTTGGCATGTAGCACAATTAATATCTGTTGATATTTGATTCAATACATGTAGCATGTATATTAGCTGTTGATATTTAAGTTGACACATGTAGTATGGATATTATCTGTAGATATATAAGTTGACACATGTAGTATGGATATTATCTGTTGATATTTGAGTTGACACATGTAGCATGTATATTAGCTGTTGATATCTAAGTTGACACATGTAGTATGGATATTATCTGTTAATATTTAAGTTGACACATGTAGTATGGATATTATCTGTTGATATTTAAGTTGACACATGTAGTATGGATATTATCTGTTGATATTTAAGTTGACACATATAATATGGGTATTATCTGTTGATATTTAAGTTGACACATATAATATGGATATCATCTGTTGATATTTAAGTTGACACATGTAGCATGTATATTAGCTGTTGATATTTAAGTTGACACATGTAGTATGGATATTATCTGTTGATATTCATGTTGATACATGTAGTATGGATATTATCTGTTAATATTTAAGTTGACACATATAATATGGATATTATCTGTTAATATTTAAGTTGACACATATAATATGGATATTATCTGTTAATATTTAAGTTGACACATGTAATATGGATATTATCTGTTAATATTTAAGTTGACACATGTAATATGGATATTATCTGTTAATATTTAAGTTGACACATATAATATGGATATTATCTGTTGATATTTAAGTTGACACATGTAGTATGGATATTATCTGTTTATATTTGTGTTGATACATGTAATATGGATATTATCTGTTAATATTTAAGTTGACACATGTAGTATGGATATTATCTGTTGATATTTAAGTTGACACATGTAGCATGGATATTATCTGTTAATATTTAAGTTAACACATGTAGTATGGATATTATCTGTTGATATTTAAGTTGACACATGTAGTATGGATATTATCTGTTGATATTTAAGTTGACACATGTAGTATGGATATTATCTGTTGATATTTAAGTTGACACATGTAATATGGATATTATCTGTTAATATTTAAGTTGACACATGTAGTATGGATATTATCTGTTGATATTCAAGTTGATACATGTAGTATGGATATTATCTGTTGATATTTAAGTTGACACATGTAGTATGGATATTATCTGTTTATATTTGTGTTGATACATGTAGTATGGATATTATCTGTTGATATTTAAGTTGACACATGTAGTATGGATATTATCTGTTGATATATAAGTTGACACATGTAGTATGGATATTATCTGTTGATATTTAAGTTGACACATGTAGTATGGATATTATCTGTTTATACTTGTGTTGATACATGTAGTATGGATATTATCTGTTGATATTTAAGTTGACACATGTAGTATGGATATTATCTGTTGATATTTGAGTTGATACATGTAGTATGGATATTATCTGTTGGTATTTGAGTTGATACATGTAGTATGGATATTATCTCATATGTTTTCTATTTTAAAAGATGGAAAATGAAATGTAATTCAAAATAGTGAGATATTTGTGCTTACAAATTGTAATAAAATATTCATAATGTGCCTGACAATTGCAATTGCAATCTGTTTCATATTTACTGCACCTCATGTTACACCACTGCTAGCTGACATGATCTAATGTATTTGGACAGCTTTGAACAAAGAGACTGACCTTAACAAGCACTCCTGACATGTTGATGGTGGCTCACACCAATTATGTAATGTAAAACATGTTAAAAAAGCGACATGAAATTTTAGCGAATTGTGGTGAAACGACGTAATAGCGAAATGTTGATTTAGCGAATGTCTCTCGTCATTGTTGATTTCCTGTTTTCACAATACTTGGCTGTCATGTGCCAAAACAAATGCGCAGTTATCCCCTCCATAAAACAAAGAAAAACTGTCAAGTGTGGAATTTATTTTTTTTGGATTACTGTATACAAATCCCCAAGCCTTGGCTATTTTGAATTTATAATATGGAAGGGTCCAGAAAAAATAGCTAGACAAACAATGATTGGTAGAACTGAAAAAGGGGGAATTTCAATGCCAGATGTTAACGCCATTTATACAGCTCAGCGTATTAATTGGTTAAGGAGGATGTGTGATAAAAATATAGGTCATCCTTGGAAAAACAATTTTCAACAAGCAGCTTGAAAAAGTTGGAGGCATTCACTTTCTTTTGAGATGTAATTTCAACCTGAAAAAATTTAATATAAGGGTGTCGAGAAGCCTTGAATCAATGCTAAATGAATGGACTAAAATTAAAACAAAAATGTCAATTGAACAAGAACCAAATGAATTACAGAAGATAATATGGAATAATGAAAAAATCTTATTTGCAGGAAAATCAATATTTTTCAAAGAATTTGTAGAAAGGGAAATAATATATGTGGGACAACTTTTTAAAACTCCTGTAGAATTAAGGACATGGAAGGACTTATTACAGAATGGAATCCCACAGAATTATATTGGTTTGGCATTATCAATGCCATTCCACATGAATGGAAAACTAATGTAAACAGAAAGAAACTACAAAATTTTGAAATAACTGAAGAAATTATACAGGTGCAAATAGGTAATATAAATGTTCATTTAAATGATTGTAACACTAGGAATATTACGAAAAAGCTTGTAGAATTTTATTTTATACCACCAAGATCTGAACTGTATTTCACCTTGACATTGAATGCACAAATAGATTGCTGGTTAGCATTATATTCACTACCATTTATAAAAACAATTGACACAAAATTGAGAACTTTTCAGTTTAAGATTTTACACAATGTACTGCCAACAAATGTATTATTGGCGAAATTCAAACCATGTCTTGTTGAATCTTCAAAGTGTTCCTTTTGCGGAAAACAGGATGAATTCTGGGATGTTTTTTACATGCTGAGGGGAAGGAAAATGGGATTGGTAAATACACTTAATCCCATACAGGTTATCCTTGGAGATGAAGATTTTTCCATTCTCTTAAATTTTACATTATTGGCCAGATATTACATATACAGTGCAAGGTGTAAAAAACAGAAGCCGGATTTAATGGCTTATAGAAAATACATGCAAAATGTTCAAAGTATAGAATTTCATATTGCAATCAAAAAAAAAAAAAAATTAAAAGGACACCTTAAAAAATGGGGAAATTTTCTGAAAGTTATGGGTTAGACTGATGTAATAAATGTACCTGAGGTCATTAAAGCTAGTTATAAACCAAGTATTGGAACATATAAATGAGCAAGAAAATACAAGAAATGTAATCCTATTTTATTGTGTATTTCAAGTATTGTAATTCATATGAGATACCCCAATAAAATATTACTAAAAACAAACAAAAAATAAAGTCATTAGCGACATCTTGAATTAGCAGATCAGAGGTCTCTCGCTAAATTCGCTAAAAAGACATGCTTGCGAAGAAAAAGACATGTTTTACAGTATATCATGCAAATGCTATACAAGTCTGCATTAAGCAGTACATGCTCGGTTTAGTACATGCCTGGACATCTGCATATAGGGGAACAAACCAGTGCAGACACTTTCAGGTTCTGTGCAAAGAGGCATAAAGCATGTAAAATTAAGTACACATTCTTCAACCAACTGTACCATGACTTGATCAGTGCCTACAGCGAGGTCGGTGTTGTGTGTCAATGCTCTGTCATTTAAATAAATGCTGGTTAAGGGAAAAACAATGTGGTCACAACCATTATATTGACACAGAAACACAAACTAAACAATTTAGTTCACTGCAGTCTTCAATGCTTGGATACTGACT